AGTGCATAGACTTTCTGAATTGTCGTGCTTTGTTTTCACATTAGCAATTAATCTCTGTACTTCTGACCAAATCTATTTTCATTCAGGTATTCATAAGTATGTTCAAATCTGTATTTTCTTGCATGGGAAATAGCGGAAAAAATTTCTGGATGTGCATTTTAAGAATTGACTCCTGGATATTGATAATATAACTGTGGAAAGTGTTACCTGACAAGAATATAATGTATCTTAGACATTGTTGTTATATATTGTGTCTGGTATTTAGTTCCTGTTTGGACGCAGTCCGGAATGGGAACTTATGTTTTGACTATAGCACGGTGTCTGCACTGCAGCTCAAATTTCCCATGAACAGTAAAGAATAAAATTGAACAAGAATTTTACGTACAAGAACTGTTATATGATAATTTTTCAACAGAACATCTCACTGCTACCTGTGAGAGTGATGTGTGCAAAGAACGTATAAGAAAATGTATCAGAAAAAACAGTATTCAAAAATTACCTCCACTATTAGTGTTAAACATAATGCGATACACATAAAATAAAAGAATACAGAAAATAAATAGCAATCAAGTCAGAATTGATAACAAATTAGATATTTCAATGTTTATCGATAACTGTGATCAACCAATAGTATACACACTACAGTCAATAGTTAATCACCATTGTATCTCTGCACACTCTGGGCATTACACTACAACATTACTGCTCGATGACCATGCTGTATCTTGCAATGATGAGAGCATACTTTGCTCGTCATCTTTTTCAAAAATCAGTAAAACATTATTGTGACCGTGGATACTGAGCAAATGCATGAAATATGCAACCAGGTAGCCAAATGTTTCATCAATCAACATATTAAATAAAATAACAATTAACAAAGAATCAATTAGCTAATATATCAAATTTACATTGAATACTTTACACAAAACGAAACAGCAAAGTGAAGTTATTGATCCTAATGGGAAATTTCCATCCATTGCAAAGCCACTACTCTTTACATTAATGAAATCTTTGGCTGTCTTTTTTTTTTTTTTTAAATAAGAAGCACTTTGAATTTAAAGAATGGAAAATTCACGTTTCATCAGCGGATAAGGAATTTCCCAAGCAAAAGGATGATTTTAATTGTGGTGTAATAATTTCTATATGTGCAAAACATATCATTTATAAAAGTAAATATACATTCAGTACACGGAGCTAAATGTTAATGCTTCAAGAGCTGTTGCAAAATCGCGTATTGCTATAATAAGCCAACAAATAAACAGTAACTAGGCTAAAGAGGCCCTCTTGTGAAGTGAATTCAACATTCTTAGATTACTCAACCTGAAACCATTTTTTATTTGTCGCTCCATTTATTGATTCGCGAGTAATGATACATCCTATTTTATCCCATTTGATTGAACTTTATTGTACAAGTATAATTGCAGTTAAAATTATTTTAATTGAAAGCAAAATAAACTACAATCGATACATGCAACATTTTTATAAACCATAAACATAATAAACAAACCGAAAGTGGATAGTTATTGTAAACATCGCTTAATTAATAAGCAGATCTAGACTGCTGTTATTATTGGTGATCGTCTTGGTGGCATTAAAGGAACTTCAATTTAATCCACATAGTTTGTTGCTTTAGTAGTATCCATTTTCCCACCGTCGATAGGAATTGCATGACAGTACCTAACTGTCCTCTTATGGACGTTTATATCTAATAATATAGGATGTTTCCATTGGATACTGAATTGAGTATAATTATATGTAGTTAAGAAAATTGTAAATCGGCAAGTTAAATTTATCATTTGACTACTAAAACAGTGTCATTCTATTACAACCAATACATTTGCTACATTTTCTGGATTTTTTTATTTTCGAATTTAATATTTACTCGTTAATTTAAGTTTGTAAGTATTTGATTTCTTTATATTTTATACGTTTGGGCAGGGAGGAGCGAAACCTTTAAAGCCCGATACTGACTGGCCTGCCTGTAGGGTTTCTGCTTAATATACTTTGTTTCTTTTATTTTCACCGACAGTGATGGTCATAAAATAATTCACTTGAATCAAATCAACCGGATACTAATGACAAAAATGAAATCTGCATATGGAGTTTGTTTTCATATTTGAAAGTATTAGTCACCGCCGCCTTTCAACTACGACGATTATTACAGCTAATCCATACATTGTCTACAATTAGTTTTGAAAATCAAATATGACTACACATATAATAACAACCATTTATTTTGCATACTAATGTGTTATTAATGTTTGAAACAACTCTTAAACTCTAAATTTAATTTTATGACCATCGATGTATTTTATAAATTACACTATTGTTTATATTTTGTTTATGTTACCCACAAATAAAAAATGGGTCACGGTAGCACTGTATGTTTGTACATGTATAACCAAGGGTAAGTATATACAAATTGTCTAGTGTTCAAGTATTGCTGTGCTAGTTTATTACTATCCGGTAGTTTAAATATTTCGTGTGTATCGGTGGTTTATGATCGCCTCAACTCGGGAGGAATGTTTGGCGTGTTTTATGAATATGATCTAAAATCGTCAATTTGACCCTAAATTCAAACCAAAATAATGATTGTGCAAAAGGTCTAGAATAATTTCTATACAATATGGATACTGGAGTTAATTATTACTAGCTAATTAGTGTGTATCGATTTTCAAACTGGTTATTATCGCCTCAACTCTGAGGGAATGTTAGCGTGTTTTATGAATTTTGATCTAAAAATCGTCATTTGGACCCAAAATATTTTTTTAATGGTTTCCACAGCGGTATGAACCAGCGATTATAAATGGAGGTAGCTTTTTGTCTGGCGGATGCGACTGGCGGATGACTTCACTCCGGTCTTGGTTGAATACAACCGAACTCGGCCGAGTTAGAATCTGGCCGAATTCGGCAGTCACTTTTGGGGTACTAAGAGACTGTGGTAACAGAGTGTTCGCCTAACCACTGCCGCAATAATCCACACAGGAAAACGGCAATTAACACGTTAAACTCAGGTTTATTCTGTGGAGCTGCAAACTACAACTTGGCAAGCTTTGCCGCCATTACAAACTCAAAAGTGGTCATGTGACTACTAACAAAAGAACATCTAGCGAATAGATACGAAGTTATCACAGAGACCGTGGACAGGCTGCTCGTTCCGTACTCTTTTTAGTAATCTGACTCGAAAGGCATGGGTGTCTCCTCGATGATTCCTTTTATAACAACATACTGGCCACACGGTCTGGCGTTAGTCGCTGGCTTTATTATTTTCCGATTTATGACAACAGTTTACTTTGAAAAACGTTCCAGTAATGGTAGCCTCGTCAGGAGGGATATCGACGACGTATACGAACCGATGACGGAACACGAAATGAACGATACTTTTGGTTGCGATGACTTCAGAGAGAAAGAGGGAACGATGCACTTTGAGACAACACGATACGACGAGAAAGACATGATTATCCGTAGCAAAGGATTCTATCTCGACGTTGGTCGACGAAGAACTGTCAGAGAATTTAGCGATAAACCCGTCCCAATTGAAGTAATCGAAAATATCATCAAGGCAGCAGGTCAGACTAATTACTACCTTATACTTACATTCCCCTGAAAATTCTGTTATTTATAAAAACAAAGATCTTGACCTATTTAGTCTCTTAGAAAAATACATCATAAAATTCTCATGTGAAGGTGACATCATCCTTTTAGGTGATTTTAATAGTAGAATTGGCAGCTTAGATGGGGCACAGTCCCTCTATCACTACTGTGGATGGGGGTTATCACAGTTGTTCGAAGGTCGACGAGACCGGAGGTCGACGAGGTCGAAATTGCAAAACAAAAGGCATTGCTTCTATGCGGAAAACAAATACTAGTAATAAATCAACTTATGTTGCCTCAATTGATTTTTCTAAGGCCTTCCATAGAGTCTGGAGAGATGGGTTGCAAGATTGTTTATGGAATGCAGGAATCAGAGGGAAGCTATGGGATATGTATGACAATGTTCTAAACAAAATCAATTTTAATGATATTGAAACAGATTATTTCAAAACTAATCAAGGGGTTAAACAAGGGTGTGTACTAAGTCCTTTACTATTCTCAATTCACATTAATAAATTCGCCAAAATGATATACAAATCTAAACTAGGGGTACAATGATTGGAGCACAATTAATACCTGGTCTATTCTGGGCAGATGACATAGTCCTCATAGCAAATAACGTTGAACTGCAAAATATGTTACATATTGCATCAACATTTGCAGGGCAATGGAAATTAAGCTTTAATCAATCTAAATCCCAGATAATGTATTTTGGAAAGAAGCTACATAAAAAAGAAACAATTTGGAAATTAGAAAATTTGACACTTGAAGAAACTAAAACATACAAATACTTGGGCATTGGGCATCATTATTTCAAAATCATTGAAGGATCATTCACATTTTATGGAAACTTGTAAAGAAGCAATATTAGCATACAGTAAATCAATCATAAACCAACATAACAGTTACATGTTTGTACAATAGATTTGAATATGGGGGTGTCCTGTGGCAAAATATAATCATGCTATCAATTAACTATGGATCTAGTGTATGGCTGTCAGAAAGTACAGTGACTAAAAACCAACTTAAAAGCATTCATTATCAATTTGGCAAGTATCTCTTTAAATTGGGAGATTTAGGATGGCAAGACATCAACTTTATTCACGATAAATCGCGAATACAGTATTTCAACAGATTAGAAAAGATGAATGATACCAGGTGGACCAAAATAGTTTTCTCTAAACTACATGAATCATATCAGAACAAGGCTAAACTTGCTTGGAACTGGCCAAAATATATCAATATCCTAATTCAAAATGGTATGGAGCATGTTTATGGCCTAAAAAGACCACAGAATATTAGTTGGATTAAAGTTTCGATAAAATTAGTGAAGAAAATGAAATAAAGCATTTTGTTGAAACTATTCAAGGCATGAAATCCCTAAAGCACTATGGTTGGATTAAACACAACAATAATGAAAAGGGAAATTATATAAAGGATCCCCTTGATCATCATGGCATCTCACTCCTCTTTAAAGTGCCTGTGCAATGCCCACCCATACACTTCCCATTTTAAATCTGTGGCCCACTGAAATGGGCAATTATTGATTTTTTTGCTGAAAATGATTACCCGTATCCAAGTAAATTTGAGATATTTCCCGTGCTGTAGCCACACCCACTTATCCTGAAACGGTCGACTCTTTCCGGATTTCCGACTCTCGCCGAAAGTGCGCCACCAAATAATAAAATATGAGAAGAAGCCATACCCCTGGGCCGTACTTTTATATCACTGTGTCATTCAACATACTTTTAAACGATATAAATTTTTTGATCGGTGTTTCTTTTTTTGTCTATTTTATTTTATTTTTTGAGAGAGCAAATTTTTAGAAGTTGTTTTCATAACAAACATTTATGATGGTTAAACATTGTGTTGTGGGCGGTTACAGTAATGCGTATAGTCATAGTGTAAGTATTTACATGTTTCCACACAATCCGAAGGTGCGAAATCGATGGACGAAAGCCGTGAAAATAACAAGAAAAGGTTGGGGTGGACTTCCTCCTTACAGCGTCATATGTAGTGTCCTTGTCCATGACAAAACAACTAGGTTTCAACGAGAAACACCGATAAATTAAACCTGGCGCAATACAAAACGTTTTTGAAAAAATAGATTCCGGACCAGCCCATGATCACTGAGGCGGATTTCAGAAGGGAGAGAGACGTCAAGTAAGTGTTTCAAATGATTTAATTTTTTTGCGATCCTGATGGAGACCACCCTGTGTTATGTAAAAGGTAGCAGTAATTTTGTTAATAAAACGAAAAACAAAGCGTCGGACAAACAGGAAATTACGCAGCCCTCAGGACGTTTTCATTTTCGGAGGCTAAAAGTTTCTGAATTGTTCGGTGATTGGTGTTGAATGTCGAATTCACACCTTTGTTGCTTTTACTTGCAGCTTGATCTGCGTAATAATTTATGGAATAAGAATCCAGGCTTGGGCTGTCAATGTATTTTTTTAATATGATGTCATAATTATGAAAATCACACTAAATCCACTCTGAATTTGTCTATATGTGAGTCACTCTCAATTTTGTTATCCAATTAAACGCCACCATTCACGCACTTGTCCCCTCCATTACCCAACACGTTTACCCATTACAACAAATTTATTTCCATGTGGGGGTCATTTATTTAGTAACTGTTTTTTGTTAATTATTTCTCTATTTTATTAATCACTATAATTTACTATTTAGAATGTCAAAATATGTTCTCTTTTTATTTTAATTTTGAATGTGTTTTTTTACTCAGACGATCGATGAAATAAAATAGTGTAGTGACGTGCCTAGTAACCTGCTAAATAACAAGACAATTCAGGCGTCAAATTTGATTTTGTCTAATGCCAGAGTCCAGCGACAGTGTACAAACGTGCGCCGGTGACTGTGACGACCACGGTGGCTAGCTACACCAGACCGGACATATTTCGCAACCCCATGCAACAAACTTGACATGTGTTCATTATGGTCCATTCTTCCTCGACGAACAATTACATAAGTGGCAATTTAGTCAAAGACGAGAAAACAGCACAAGAAATTTGCCTTATTTACACGTATCGGCAATGCAAGCTACCCAGCAACTTTTTTTTTTTTTCTTTTTTTTCTTTTTTTTCATATTTAATAAACTTTTATGGAGTCTTAGTACAATAGTACAACAACTTACATGTAGCACATACATTGTTTCATGGAAAAATTACATCTTAAAAAAGTAACAGTTCATACACTATGTCAGACATTAAAATGTGATTGATACAATTGTGGTCTTATTACTTTGCCATTACTGCAAGGAACTTGCCCCATTTTTTAAGGTGCTGTTCAAGTTTCCCTTTTTCGTTAGCTATTATATATTCTATTTTTTGTATATTGTGTACAAATGGTTCAAAAGGTCTAAAATAGGGAATTCTATTTTGACATCTACATATGTAAATATACCTCTTTGCTATTAATATTAAAAAATTTAGCAATATTGGGAACAGCGGGTTTCCCAACAGTATTGACATTGTGTTAAGGGAGCTTCTTATATTCCCATTCATGTATTGTCTCTTTTAAACAATCAGCCAAACTGCTTTCTGATTTAGGAGGGATGAAGCCCTGAGCAATAATACCTGGAGTGACCTGCTTTGCAGTACATTGTTTTATATGGATATGACAGTCTGTGAATTTCACCCCTATCATCTGTTTCCCTTGGTTTGTTATATCAAATTTTGACAAATCCACACCTTTTCTCAGCTCATTTGGAAGAGCTGAGATTATCCCATACCATTTCAAAAACAAGTGTTCAGGCAATTTGCTCAAGACTCCCTCTCTCCAAGTCTACCATTGTTTTTAAAGAGATGACCAACAACTTCCCTTTCTGACGTCACGGGGGGGGGGATTTCTGTATGCAAATGAGAAGCTAATGAGGAGCCTTGTTTTAAAATACACAAAATAAAGTTGCCGTAGACTGAGTTTAAAACGCATTTTTTTACTTAAAAAAAATTTATGCTTAGAAACATAAAAATTAATAATATTTATGTACCAATGGATAATTTTAGGTGTAAAAATAGCAGCCATTTCACAGGCACTTTAAGGTGTCAAATGCAATAGACTTGGAAGGGAATGAAACAGGATGGGAAAATTAAAAAGGTGACGGGGTATGTAAGCTTTGTAATGATGGAAAGGAGGATGTTTATCACTTTTTATTTCTTTGCAAATCAACTAACCACTTGAGAAGTAAATTCTATTCAGCACTGATCAATACAATAGTGGAAAGTGGTGGAGAACCAACTATTGTACATAGATTTTTCTCAGGAGGAATTAATTTCAAATTTAATTTTCTCTTCAGTGATGCTTTATAAGGATTTGGGAAATAATACATCAAGTGAAATCCGAAACTTTCTCACCCACCTATGGAAATTCAGAAATGAGAAACTCAATGATTTACATGTATGAATTAATGCTTCTTATAGATTGTTTTTCTTTTCTTGTTGTTGTTGACTTGTATGTTACTTTTTACATCGTTTCAAAGGCTAATAAAATATTATTATTATTTATTATTATTACTTCTTGTAACCGACCGTGATATGAACTAATAGCTAATAACAATAAACACAAAATAGTTTTTTAACGAAAATACTGTGTAGAAAATAAATTTCCCCTGTATTCAGAACACATTTTTACTACATAGTTGTAAACCTATTTACATATATTGGCTCGAGTACAGTCATGAACATGTGTGCCTTAAAACAAATTTGTTTGTTTTTTACTTTGTTTAAATGTCCAATATGATTGTCGTGTTGTTTTGCTTTTAAATTATTATATACTAACCTCCATAATAACATAAAATAAATATTTCCTAACATCGTACTTAACAATTAAATCTGTCATTATATCGGTAACACTACTTACTTTACAGTTAATAACAAATGTTTACTATCACCATAACAATATAACTTGCCTGTCATTTGTCTGTGGCTAATAGTGTGTCACATGTTACTTACAAATACTTCTCTGCTATGAATAGAACAGGTTTATAAATAGTTATAA